ACGCTTTGGATACACGCGCAGGGCGCATCCACCTCGCCAGTGTGAATGTTATAAAACTTCACGTTTAAGTCTGTATTTGTCACGCGCACACGCGGGGGGATGCGTGCGTGCGTGTGCGTGGGGCGGGGGTGTCTGCCACGGATAACAGAGCAGGCATGAGGAGGAGAGGACGAGGAGAAGAGCAGTGGAGTTATTTCTAATTTTATCTGACTTATATAATTTTATTTTTATTGTTTTTATCATCCTGCAGGCTCTGTGACAGAATTAATTTGAAGCTGAGTATTTTTTAAATTAAAATCGTTAGATTACTCTAAAGCAAAATGAGGGAAAATCCGTGTCAGTTACAGACATTCTGTTCACGTGAGCAGCTGTCAGTCAGCATCTGTCAACCTCCGACGGAGCGTGTCTGAGCCAATCACTGTTGTTGGCATTGATCAGCTGACTGATTTAAATACATCTTAACATTCATGAGGTACTTTCATTGACTGTTTATGGTTGAGTGTGGGCGTGTAGAGGGTAGAACCTGAGGAGGARCTTATGGTTGAGTGTGGGCGTGTAGAGGGTAGAACCTGAGGGGGGCCTCATGCGCAAACTCTGATGTGCAGCTGTGATTTATAAAGGAAAGGTACGCAGAAACGTGCGTATGCACTGTTTTTAAAACAGATTTTTTTTGGCGTACACCATTTCCGCCTTTTGGCCGTACGTTCACTTTTAGTATGGTTTCCACGCAATCCTTTATAAATGAGACCCCAGGTCTTTTATCCAGAGCTGATGTGAATAAAATGTCTGTTTGCTCCTATATCATCACTGAGTTTTAGTTCTTTTCTTTTGACGGCTCTTTAGCATCAATTATTGCAAAGTTGCTGCAATTGATCTGATAGCTGGAGCAGTAAAACATGTAAGAACTTACATGTTGTCTTCCTCTGCTGTGCTAACAGGAGTGGATGAGGAGCTTTTTGAAGGTTCTGCTTGGCTGCATGTTCTTCATTTGTATCAGTGTTCTGGAAAATACCAAAACAAAGGCTGTCATTTTGAAAARAATCACATTTGACAAACATAAAGTAGGCATATTATCAGTTCAGTGATGCTTAAGAGTACACTAAAAACATACAAAACCTCCAAGATAAAAAAAAAGAATAGAAATCWGTTATAAAGCCTGCACAATGATGTGGTAACAAGAAATTAGAGATTTTCATAATACCATTACTCACATCAGACAAAATCATCCTTGTCTGCATCTCTGCATCATCTGAATGATCTGCAGCTTAACGCAAAACAGCATGAAAGAGAATCAAAAACTCAAACAGGTAGACTAGAAAGAATTTTGTTCTAACAGACAAATTATTTTATCTCACAAAAGTTATTAATACTGTAAAACACATCAAATAAATCAACATAGAATATTGTGACAATATTATAATGTGTGATTTTGTTCTCAAATTCAGAAAGCAGCTGATTGGTTTACATCCATAAATTCAGGTTATGTGAAAATTCTGGAGCAACCTGCCTTGTAAAGGTAATTAAATTAAAAACGATCTTCAGTCAATGTTAATATTCTTTAACTTATGTATTGTGTTGCATGAAAACCCAACAAAATAAGGAGTATTTGTAAACAGACCTGTCACAGTGAGGACGGTGCGCCTCTGGTGTTGTCCAGCTCTGTTCTGAGCCGTGCAGAAATACTCCCCAGCGTCAGAGGTCTGCACGCTGGAAATATGAAGGGATCCATCTTTTTGCACAAGAAGACATCGGGTCATCAGGACATCTGATCTGAGTTTAAGAATTTGCACGTGTCCTTCTAAACCGCACCATCGACGTGTTTYTCTTCAGAAGGGCCGATGGAGGGCTGAGTCTCTGCTCTGCCTCTGGTCCAGCTGTAGGTGATGGGATGAACCCCCACAGCTCTGCAGGGCAGGGTCACAGAAGCTCCCAGCTTACAGCTCATGTGAGTCACGGAGGTCAGTATGATGGGGCTRACTGGGAGGAGAAGAGAGGAACACTGGATGACTTTTTCTCCTAAAAGAAATTTCAACGCTCATGTTTGAACTTGCTGAATCAGCTGGTGGTAAGCCTGGATGACCACAGACCACAAAAATGTTCCTAGTTTTTATCCATCCATCCATCCATTTTCTTCCGCCTATCCGGGGTCGGGTCCTAGTTTTTATTTACAACGAAATATATGGCAAAGATTAACAAAAATGGCACTGTGTGAATGCAGTTTTCCACAGAAACAAACACTAAAAACAATCTAAATAAGCCAGGGATATTTAACTAAATTACTCCGAGGGCCACAGTTACTGCAGGTCAACAGCTCAGGGGCCGAACATCCAGCAATTAAAGTCATTATGTAAATAAGCCAAGTATTACAAAAATGTGTTACCTTTGAATTAGTTAATTGTGTTGCCTTGTGTTTTCTGGGTGTATATTTAATATATTTTCTCTCTTTCAATCTTTCCAACTAAATATCCCCCTTTTCTCCTTTCCTCTTTCCTCTTTATATAAAAAAAAGTCACTCATGATGAAGAAATTAAGAAACAAATAAGTTATTTTTTCTATTGAAGTGAAAAAAAATGAATTAGTTTATTTTGCTGCATTTAATCATGGATATAACAAACAGACCCCTATGTAATAAATGTGAGAGTAAAACAAAAACAAAAATCACACATTCTGCCTCCTGTTTAACACAAATAATATTTTGACATCTCTGACTTGCCAAATTTTTAAACCAATCTTATTTTCACTTTCATAGTTTTATCTTCAACTGCTTTTAGTTTTAACTGTCTTAGATATTCATAGAAATGTTTTTTGACCAGCTTCTAGCTAAGATTCTGATGTTTCTGTGGACACCAAACACGTCTATGTTTAACTAAAAGAACTCAGTAATTAAAGTAGAAAACCGGGGGTTTGYACTTAAGAGATGAATGAACCAATTGGCGGGCCACATTTTGGTCACTTGCGGGCCGGATGTGGCCCGCGGGCCGCCAATTGAATAGCCCTGATCTAAACTATAAACTTGGTATTATTTGGCTCAGATCCAAGTACAAACATGAGAAATAAAATCATTACACACGAATTACAGTTAGTTTTTTTTTTTTTACCAGCAACTCTCAGCAGAGCTGAACTCTGGCTCTTTCCCAGCACGTTGGACGCCTCGCACACATAAACCGCCTCATCGTAGCTCCGGGCAGACTGGATGTAGAGAGTGGCATTTTTCTGTCTGAATGAGAGGGATATTAAAGGTGATAATACTGTTGTTTTATCGCTTCATTCAACATCACAGCGCAGGCGCAGACCCCAGCGAAACTCTGCCTCCGGTCTGCTTCGACTGGCCCCTCTTCAGCCAGCTGATGGAGGGCAGAGGGTGGCCCGACACCTGGCACTCCAGCACAGCCTGAGCACCCACGGGGACTGTCAACACCGTGGGCCAAAGTTTCACTGATGGATGGACTAAAAAAGAGAGAAAAAAACCCATCATGATCCAGTTTCCATCACGTCAAGGCAGGATTGTGTTAATCTCATACCCAACACGGTTAGAGTGGCTCGTCTGGAGGTGAGGGGTCTTTGAAGGTGGACGTTTGAAGKCCTGCAGAAGTAGCTGCCGCTGTCAGACTCCTGGATGCTGAAGTATTAAAATTAAACATGTACAATATTAATATATTATTATTAATATCAATATTAATCCTGATTTCATTCATCTGTCCTGGTTGAAACACCTGTGGAAGAAGAGGTCTCCACTGGGCAGCACGGTTCTGTTCTCTGTGGGAAAAAGAAGCTGGTTGTTCTTGAACCAGGACACCTGAGCTCCTGTGCTGTGTGGAGGCCTGCAGGTGAGCGCCGCCGTTTCCCCTCTCCTCACCGTCGTGTTTGTGGGCTGCTGCGCAAAACTCCAGTGTATCTCTGAAAACACCCCATTGCTCAGAAATCCCACATTATCTGCRATTTTGGCAATTTAATCAACATTACAGGAGCAGAAGCTGAAGTTAGATCAGTACCAGCTGGAAGCAGGAAAGCTGGCTGCGATCTGATCGTCTCCTTCTGGTTTGATGCTTCACAGTGATATGAGCCCTCATCCTCTTTTGTCACATTTCTGAAGAAAATGAGAAATTAAACTTCTGTCCTCAAAGAGCAGAAGCTGGAGTAAACTCATTACAACGTCTGATTGCTTGGGAATATTGTACATCACTAAGACCACAGGAAACACGGTCAGAGGAATAAAGAAAATCTGCATTTTACACAGCAAAAATGCCAGTGTTCATTTCAACACCAACAAAGTGTCTATATGTGTCCACACCATGGGCGTAACCACCATAGGTACAGGGTGGGACATGTCCCCCCCACTTTCCACATCTGTGCCCTGTCCCCCCAACTTATTTCAACCGAAACAGGAAAAACAAGACCTTTAAAAAAATGTGTCGCCCCCCCACTTTTAGGATGGTGATTACGCCCTTGATCCACACTTGCTGCTGTTAAAATAACATTTATTAACAAGTGTTAAAAATTAAACACCCCTTGTATTTTTTTTTTTAGATTTTTTGTTAATTTAACATCAACCAGTGTTCAATATTCAACAATACTGGGTGTTGTATTAACATTTCGACAGTGTTAAAATATTGTGTTAGAAGTAACACCAGCCAGCGTTTAATTCTGAACAATATTCTGTGTTACATTAACATTTCCACAGTGTTAAAATAAAGTGTTAAACGTAATGCCAGTGTATTAATATTATTAACAAAGGAAATTGTGGTGTTTTAAAGGTTTACAGACACCACAAGGTGTCAATACACCAAATTGAGAGTGTAAATTTAACACTCAGAGTTAATATCAAACTTTTTGTAGTGTTTCATTAACACAACTCAGTAGGTATTAGAAAAGTATAATGGCGTCACCCTTCAAACAGCAGGACAGACCTCTCATTCATGGTGTCGATTTATGGCCAATAACACAAACTTAAACTTGAACAATTTAATCAAACTGAACAAGAAAACTAACCAGAACAACTAATTTTTACTCTCATGAACTTCTTTAATAGTCGTAAACATAAAAACACATAATTTCTACAAGATCACTCAGCATTCGTCGCTGAGAAAATACTGGTCTGTCTGACATGAGGTGGAAGAGGGCGGGGCTTTTCAGAATACTTCTTTCAACACTGCATGGTGTCAAATAACAACACTGTTAAGTGTTGTATAAGACTTAACCATGGGCGGAGCTTAATTAACACTGTCCAGTGTTGAAACAACACTGAGGAAATCAACACTGGGAATTAACACCAACACTGGGTGTCAGTTTCCTCAGAAAGTGTTAAAATAACACTAGGAGGCGTTAAATCAACACCCAAAAGTTTAACACTGAAATTGTAACACTCCTGTTTTTGCAGCTTTGATAAAAACAGGAACAAAATATCCCTGGTTTTCRGAGCAGCCTCAGACCTGAATGTGAGCAGCTGCCCATTGTTCTGGAGGCTGAATGAGGCCGAGCAGTTGGACAGGAGGCAGCCGTCTTTGAACCAGTGCACCATGGGAACAGGGAAGCCACGGACAGTGCACCGCATGGAGACCTCGGCACCCATGGCAACAGTGATGTTGTCAGGGCTCTGGATGATCCGCAGACTCCCTGCAACACAGACGGTTTTTGTAAGATACTGATTCCTTCAACAAAAAAAATTCAAAAGTATTTTTTAAATATGCATCAGGTTAAAGAAAAGCTCAGGATCACCTTCCACGGTTAGCTTAGCTGGTTTGCTTTCTTTACTGATGTTCAGTGAGGGGTTGTGTGTGACACAAATGTATATTCCATCATCCTCTAAAGTCACATTGATAAGGTGGAGCGTGCTGGAAGTTTTCTTTTGCTGACCCCCTCCATACTCCCCCTGAATGGAAAAGCAGTTTGAAGAACATCTGAGGAAAAACGTGCCCAGCGGGCTTTTCTTTGTTCTTTAAAAACTGCAGAGTTTAAAGAGTCCTGGGTTAGTGAAGACGCTCACGTATGACGGAGCTCACCTGGAACTGTCTGCCTCTCGTGACCATCTTTCCATCTTTGAGCCATGCAATGTTAGCAGGAGGCGAACTTTCCCCTGACACGCACTGGAGAAAAGCTGCTTCTCCTTCTTTGATTGTTTGGTCCTGAGGACTGAAGAAAACATTTTCCAATCCTGGAATGTGCAGGAAAAATAATAATTACACAGATTGAGACAGATATGACAAATCAACCACATCAGATGCTGCAGATGCAATAAAACAAATCACTCTGTGGCCGTTTTGACAGCGGTGACAGGGTGTCGGACTCACCTGGAGCAGATGCGACCGTTGAGCTGAGCAGAATGAGCGAGCAGAGGAGGTAAGTCATCTGTGGGAGCAAACAAACGGAGGTACAGACTCGCATCTTACTGCAAATCTCCATAAGAAGACTGAAAAAAACAGCGTGCAGATTCATCCATGATGTCAGCCCTGAAAAAAGTGCAAAAAAATACTTCTTAGAGCTGCTATTAAAAGTGCAATAGTGGAATAGGTTGTTCATTTYGGTGTTTGATCTAACATATCTTACACAATAGTTGACCCTAAATCAGCCCTGCACACAGCTCCACTTTTGATCAGTTTTCTGTAAATGTATTCAGCAGATGGATTTAACATAATTCACCCCCCCGACCCTCATTCTCCCTCCCCTCTCTTTTTCCATTTTGCTTCATTCCTATTTTGGTTGTGGCACCACAGTAAGCTCAGCTTTGTCCTCTTTAGTCCCTTGAATGGGCACAGCCACTTTATAGAGCTCACACGGTGGTCCTTCACTCAATGAAAGTGACATGAAAAGAGGCTGCGGAGCTTTGTACTGTGAAGATCAGTTATTGGTCCCTGCGAGGACAGCTAACCGTCTGATCAAATATGCTTTCATGATCATCGGCTGAGCCGAGTAAGGGCTGATCCTTCATCGTTTGAATGTGCTGCAAAGTTTTCATTCTGCACAATAAAACCTGCGCAAATATAATTTTGTATGCAAGGTAATGATCAATGTGTTGTAACTGAGCTCAACAAAGTTAAAAATGTTTAACTGGAGAACTAAAATTAGCACAAAAAGTAAGGAAGTTTGTGTTTGGTATATCATTTCTTTGCTGTATGTTGGAAATAAATCTTATATTGTTGGAAAGCTTGGTTTCAAATGGTGCCACATTTGTAAGGAACATACATTTGTGGGATGAGCAGTAGAGCTGAGTGTGTTGTGCACATGCAAAAATTTGTATAGTATATAATATAGTATGTTGAAATGTTTTTTTTAATCAACCCTTATTTTCACAGTTTTTGGACATAACTTTAGAAGATAAAACATGTTCAAAAACACAGAGATGTCGTTTATCCAATTAGGTGAGTTAAACTGATGATTTTCATGATTGTGTAAACTAAACTTTTTAGGTGACTGACAATAAAAAAACAGAGTCAGACGAAAATTAGGAGACGGAAAAAAAAGCTGTTTTTTAAGCCCAGGGTACTTTTTGGACTTATGCACCTTCTAGGCATGAATGTTGGCCTTTAGGATAACTCTACATACTTTTATAAGGATTTGAAAACATTTATGTTCCCAAGTAGTATTAATTATTTATTGGTACACCTGTTAGTGGATTTTATATTTTGTGCAAAATACCAGTAAACTCAAAGTTGTGTTCTTATTCCAAAGAAACATTACAATATTAATATTAAAGGTTCAACCTGTTCAGTTCAAAAYCCTTAAGATCAATAATGACTCACTTCTGATGACATACCAGGACTGGTCAAAACACCTGGATATTATTCACATTATTCATCACTGTTGAGCTAAAGGCATTGCTGGATTACTCAGTGGYTTCTGCAGGACCAGTGGCTGCTTGAACAGACACAAAGCTAAGAGCCCGTGGGTGTTTTATTTGTTTGACTACTGAGGCTCACAACGGATCATTTACACTGTTTAGCATGTCATTAAGATGTTTTTAGACCTCTCATTCTCCTGTATCCTCCTTCATCGTAGTTTATTTTCTTATGCTTCTGATCAAATTAAACTTCAGCGATGAAAAACTTTGACACCTTGTTTGTGCAGCATGTTCAGCTCTTTTATATWATATTTTATTCTAATACCAAGCCAACTTATAGAACATTGTTGCAGCATTACAACTGAGCAAACTGCAATTTTTTGAGCATGTAACTTAAAACATAAGCCCCAAAAAAAATGAATAGACTGATTGTTATTTAATCCTGATTTGAGTGCATTCAAAATTTATTTTTATTTTCTCAAATTATATCAGCTTATTTTATTGTTAATGTGTTTTAGTGTATAGACAGACATCATAATCTTGTTTTCATTGGGAAGCATCATATAGATTTACATTTAAACAAATTCAGCCTGTTCACATAAACATAATAGCAATAGTAATTTACAATTTAGAAGTGCTTCTGTCTCACACATCAAGTCTCATTTGCATCTCCTTGAATACTAAAATCAGCATCATAAAAGCAATTTAACAAATAATAAACTATATTCAGCACAAAATAAATTCATTTTTCACCAATTGGTGCATGCCATGGAAATATCAGTGAGAATATTTTTACTTACTCAACAACTTGTGTCGTTGGTTTTCATCAGCGTCTCCTGTTTGTGGTTTTATGTCTCCTGATTCATCCGCTGAGCTTCCACTGAAGAGAACCACGACCA